ATAAATTATTGACGTTTTATGAGGTCTAAACTTTAGAAACGACAGTCGGACTTTTGCATATGAACAAATATCTCTGCACCTGAAGCGTCTCAGGCTGCAGAAGCGTTTCCTCATTTCAAGATGTGTAGTCACAGATTTCACACAAGGAAACCATTTACTCCCCAAGACAGAAGGTGAGGCGAAGCTCGCATTTAAATTCAACATCAGCAGTTTACTTTGAGATGTCACAACAAAAATATGAGTACAAATGTCTCCTGATGAGCCTGAAGTCCAACCAAACTTTAACATCTCAACTCCTAAACATTAAAGGTTCATGCTTCCTTGAACAGGTTAGGTCAGGTCAGCTCTGCCCGTTCTGGGCTCCTTCCAGCTGTTTTAAGCCTCTGTCACTTTAAATCAAAATAAGCTGCTGCTGGAAAAGCAGAAGTAGAGTCTCCTGCACAATCAACAAAAATGCATCTGACTTTTTCAAATATCCTCACTTTTTATTGTGTTTTTTGTTTTGCAAAGCAATAAAAACTGTCGAACAGCGAGCTCTGGAAACTAGCTTGCCTGTTTATGAGTCAGTCAAATGACTGTCGCCCTACTGGATATTCAGGTCTGATGACGTTCTGTAAAACACAAGAGAAGGACAGATGTGTTCAAGGTTCCTGCAGCTTACCTGATCTTTCTGAGTATCCTGACTGTCGTTACAGTTCATTAGAGTCTCGATTCATTAAACCTGCAATGTGTGAAACTATGACTGAAACACTTGCAGTCGTTCATGGCTCAGGTGCAACATTAAAGGTGTTTATCCAAATGATCAACTTACGTCATCATATTTAAAGTTACATTATCAGACGGACTAAAATATAAAGTTAAGTGGAAACTTTGGTATTGTAAGCATAAAAATTATAATTTATAGAATTTTTTTAAAAATGATAAAATCAGGCAAAATATTTTTCCCTCCAAATCAGCTTCTTTCAATAAAAAACGTATAAAACTTTAACAAAAGCGGCAGGTGTGTGTCTGAATCTGATGAATTTTTGTTTGTTCTTCATTCAGTGGATAGAAAATCCAGAAATTTTACTCAAGAGTAGAAATACTTCATAATGAAACTACCCAACTAAAAGTACAAAGTACATCATGGTAAGAATACTCCCAAAAGTAAATTTTACTCAAGTAAATGTAACTAGTTACTACCCAACTCTGCAAATAAGTAATTTACAGCTAAAACCAACGATTATTTTAGTAATTTATAAATATATGAATAAGTCAGACAATTAATCAGTTACTGGGATATAAAAAGAAATTCAGTTATCAAGTTTATACACCATTAGAAATACACTCAATTCCTTTATTATGTTAAAAAAATATATTTTATTGTCTAATATACAATAATAAGTGTGACTGGCAACAGCAAATGTGGGACCATTTATAAGTGCTAAAAACAATAAAACTAATTAGAAATTAAGGTTTTCCTACAGAGTTCCCTGCCTTGCTGAATATTTTTTGGTCTAGTTTCAAGTGAAATTATCTTAGTTCACTTGAAATAAGACAAAACTAACATGCAAGAAAGTTTTCATCAGCTTGTTTTGAGTCAATTATTCCTTAATGTTGATGAATAAGTTCTGGTTCCATTTGCAGATCATTTAACTCATAACAAGACATTTTTCTCATGATAAAAGTTAAAAAATCTGCCAATGAAACGTTTTAATCAACATTAAGGAATAATTAACTTAAAAGAAGCTCCTGTGTCTCCTACATCTTGATGAAAAGTTATTTGTATGTTAGTTTTGTTTTATTTCAAGTGGCTCAGGTATTTTCACTAGATTAGATAAAAAATAATTCAATTTGTAACATGGGAAAAATGTCCCTTTTAAATTGCTAAATTAGTTGATGATTATTTCAATAATTAATCGTTTCAGCTCTAGTCATTAAAAGCCTATAATTGATTTAGCAGACAGTAATTTCCATGATGGAGGCATTTAACCTTTTGACCTGAACTGTATTTAATCAGCCTGAGTAAAAACACTGTAATATATGCAGTAAACAGCAGCTTTAAACCTTTGACGCTGATGTTTAAGTTGTAATAAGATCAAGCTCTGCTTTTTTATTTATTTATTTTATTTCAGATACACTGTGAGGGAGACTGAACTTCCTGTTCAGAGCAGAACCAGAACCAGTGGGACTGGGTGGAGATCCGTTCGCTGACCCACAGACAGCAGAACAGCAGCTGGTGTTACGATTATCGACACCATAAACGTCCTGCAGCCAAAGACAATTACAGCCAAACACATCTGGAATGTAAAGAAGCCGATTTAAAATCACACGTTTCTCACACAGCTGCAGATTGATTTACGTTAAATCAGTTGATCTACGGAGAACATTAATGCATATTAGGGCAAGTTTGTGTTTTAACAACTAAAATAAAACATTTTGCTGGATGATAAGTTGTTCCAAAATTTATTGCGATAAACAATAATATTGTTTTGAGATCATTTTCAAGTAATATGATGGTAATAATGGCAAAATGCAACCGGAACTGGAAGACATTTTAAATATCCGAAATAAATAAAAACAACAAATGAAATGAATTATGAAGTATCTGAAAAGAAAACCTCAAGTTGAGCCCAAAGCACCAGACTGAAGATCACTTTAGATGGAGAAAAGAGAAAAATTATAATTCAAACAAATTAAAATTATTGAGTATGTTTTAATTTATTGTGGAATTAATTAATTTAATTGTGGCATTAGTGTTTTTACAGGGTGTTCCAAGTATTCAAGGGTTAGACCGCTCATATTTTACATTTTAATAAAATAACTCACTGAGTTTATCTATTACATCAAGTTCCAATAAAATACATAAAATGTTGAAGTTATTATGCCACAAAGTGTGTCGAAGTGAGAAAGAGTGTGAATACTTTTGCAAAGTACAGTTTGAAGTCTGTAGTTCAGGATATTAAATATATTAACTGTTTACTGTTCTGTTTAAATTTCTAAAAGTGTGAAGATTTGGAAGCAGAATATTTTTCTTTTCCTTCGGCTAAACATTTCTACGTTAAGCTGCGAGGCGGATTCAGAGTGTAAGAGCGCAGCTACTGTATGAAGACATATTTTATGGATTCCTCTTTAAGTTTTCAAGGCACAATCAGCTGTTAAAGAAAATGCAGAGTAGAGATAAATATTCCGCCGTAATTTGGCGCCCCCTCTAGAGGCGCCCCTGTGCGTCGCCTTTTGCGCCGCTGTCACCGCCATCACCCCCAACAATCTTCTTCATTCAGTCATGAAAAGTTTCTCTCTAGTCGTGCAGGTTCCCCTTGCGCTGCTTCTCTTTTCATCTTCCTCATTCTGCGTGTTAAAAGGGTCAGATACGAATCTAGATAAATCGATTGTCTTCCCTACAGAAACTCCCCAAACCGACCAGTTTTCCCAGTAACTGCCCTCTGATGACACAATTACCATCAGAGGCGAAGGGGCTGCACTCATAAACAGTCTGCAGCTGATTAGATTTCTCCCGTAAATCACTTAATCTCATTTGTCCCAATAGCTGTTGTCTCCTTTCCATCTGTCTGCTTTCGCGGATCCCTTATTAGATTATTGTTTATCAACAGAAACATTTTCATTACAGCCAGACTCATGTTACGCGTCTTTTAAAAGCACCACTTTTACGTCAAATTGTTTTAATTTAGTGTCTGCTTTCTCTCAAACACCCAGTCAAGCTCACATGTTTGAGTGCGGCCCAAACCGGAAGTTTTGTGTTCTTCCAAAGTAAAAGGCTCAACATGATGCAAATTTCATTTTGTTTGTAGAACTGTATATATTTGGAACAGTATATATATTTAGGTTTTGGTAATAATTGCATTTAAAAAAAAAAGATGTACTACCAACTTTTTCCAACGTTTGTAGTTTTACTAAATCTGATTGCATCAATAGTAATAGCTTTCGAAAATGTTATTATTTTTATTTTATTTTTTACCGTTTTTACTTCACTTATGTTATTCAACACTCATTTTTCACTTGCATGTCCTTAGATTCTCCAAACTGTAAAAATAAAACTGTTTGAACTTGATGGATACTCAAATTATTACGTTGGAATAATTGGAATAAATTTGTTCTAAGTTGTAAGAAAATTGATATTATGAAGATAATTTTCTAGACATTAATTTTAAGATATTTCTGTCCATTTAAAAATGTATGCAGGTATCATAAATCAAAATAACTAAAATAAAAAACAGAATAAAACAATGCAATGTCTGGTAATTCTAGAAAAAAAATTATGATTTTTTTTTTTATTATTATCATGTTTTTGTTACGCACAATAAACCATTAGCAATCTTTCACCCAGACTTTTTGACAGTTGAGTATACTACTACTACTACTACGAATAATAATTATAATAAAATAGTTAAACCTGAAAAAAAGACAAAATAAAAACACTGCAACAAATTGTTGTACGGAGGGCAGATCCTGCCATAATCAGCAGGAACACAATAATTACATGTTGTGTAATATAAAAGGGCAAATACTTCTTTTGCCCTTTTTCCTTTAACTTTTACAAAGAGTAAAAGGGGAAAAGAAAACATTATAGGAAAAATAAAAAAGAAATCTGTAAATAATTGAACAAAGGAGAAAATATAAAGTGAGAAAATACAAAGAGGAAATGTTAGAGGAGAAAATAAATAAATAAAAAAGTGGCAGTAAAATAAAATAAAAAAACAGAATGAGGAAAAATTATAAATAAAAACATGATAGTAAATACAAAATGTGTTAAATGCAAAATATAAAAAAACTGAGAACAAGTAAACAAGGAAGCTAAGAAAATAATATTGGAAATAAAATAATATTTCTAATGTTATAATGTATAATTAATCATGTTGAAAATTAAAAATTAGTGTTGATTCATATGTAACCAAATTAGTTGGAAAAAGTTATTTATTTATTTTTTGGAAGTGATTTCTGGCACTTCATCAAACCTTTTATTTATCTCTATATGTATTACCAATTTTGACAGAATCCATCCTCCATAAATTTGTACGCAACTTCAAAATAAAACTATATTCGTGCTGAAGACTCGCGGTTCGGGTTTGTCGTTGCTTCATTTTATAGAGATCCATAACCGGAAGTGTCGTTTCCAGCTTGACGGCGCTGAAAGGCTGCCAAACAGAGGCTGACTGATGCTGCCCGCTGCGGTCTCCCTCAATGAGCCGAGGCCGAGCTGAACTTTCACATCTCCTCCTCCGCCGTCTGGGTCCATAGAACCGAACCCGAAAAAACGCTTCTTTTTTTTCCTCAGATGCTCCACAGCCATTTTAAACTGAGCATCCCTCTGTGGGAGATCTGAAATAATAATAATATTACTAATAAAAAAAAATTAAATAAAATCCCTCCGGGTCTGCGGGAGGAGCGGGTCTGAACTGAGGAGATGCCTGACGGGTGGCTCGGTTCTTCTGGGCATCCCGAGCATCGATTAGCGGAGAAATGCTGAAGTTTAGCGGCAGCTCGGTGGTCGCGGCGCTGCTCATCGCGGTGGTTTTCGGCGCTTTCTTCTTCTGCGAGTATCTCATCTACTTCCCGACCATCCTCAAGTGCGCCTGGCCGAAGCTGAGCCGTGCCCGGGGCGGAGAGGGCACCGACGGGCGGCCGGCGGACGCAGCGGTCCGCGCCATGGTGCTTTCGGACACCCACCTCCTCGGAGCGGTGGGGGGACACTGGTTCGACAAGCTCAGGAGGTAATCTCTCCATTTTACCCATCCATTTTAAACACCAGTAAGGTGAGGTGAGGTGAGGCAATAAAAGGAAAAGCCAAAAAATGACAGCGGGGTTGTTTCCAAACGCAGGGAATGGCAGATGGAGCGGGCTTTCCAGACCGCGCTGTGGCTGCTCAAGCCCGAAATAGTCTTTATTCTCGGGGATATCTTCGACGAAGGCAAGTGGAGCTCCCAGAAGGTAACAGAGCTCCATGTTTTCCCTCCTAATGCAGCTGCACTGCTTTTGGATTATCCTAACCATGCTTGGAAATAATAATAATAGAGGAAATAAACTGTGCATGATGTGGATTTAGAGGGTTCTGATCAGATTCTGGTTCTGTTTGGGCCCACAGACCGCAGGGTCTGATGTAAACATCTGCAGCCTCCATCCATCTCTCCACACAATGCTCCATTTATTTCACTGATGCACTGATTTTGGCAGGTCAGCGATTACCGATCTTTAAAAATCCTGACCTGCCGATTCTGATTTTGGCCTTTACCAATTTTGTCTGAAATGTTACAAGATATAGCAAGAAAGTCCCTGAATTGGCAACACCGAGGTGCCTATTGTTAACTGCAAACGAGCAGAAATGACCCGGTGGGCCGGCCTGTCAGCCAAATCTCTCTCACAGGAGAGCAGAAAAGGACAGTGGATGATTTTTAGACCTTTGCTGAGGTGGATCAGGTCCGAAAATTGAGGAAATTGGTGCCGATTGGCCAATAAATTGTCTGGCTCATAAATCGGAGCACCCCAAATTTATTTCACTCACGCTGTAAAAATCATGGAATCTGAGAATATGATGAAATATAACCATTAAGTTTGAGCAGTTTGCCAAACACAAATAGAAAAATGTACAACAATCGCTCCTATTGTCATTTCTAGACCCGGCTGCAGCTCTACTTCCTCAGTGTTTGTTGAATCCTAAAGAAATGTTCCGACTTTCTGACGATTGTTTAGATTAAATTAGGGCCCGGTCTGTCAGTCAAACCTTTCTCACCAGAGAGCAAATGGTTGATTCTTAGACCTTTGCCAAGCTATTTAGGATCGGCTTCACATGTAAAAATCGGCCGATCGCCAATCTCCCAATATTAAGGAAATCGGCACCGTTAAATCGGCTGGCCGATAAATCAGTGCGCCTAATAACAAATGAAATATTAATCAACATTATGATGTGCAACGACGGCACTTGACAAAATGTAATGTCTGAACTGTGTTTCTATGACTTTGTATTATTATTATGCTGTTTGAAATGTCTTGCTGCTGAAATGTGCTCTACACATAAACACATAAACTGATTGACTTGAAATAAAAAAATTTTCAGGGTTATAAATATCCTTTCGCTGCTAAACCTCCTCACGTGTTAATAGTTTCAGCTCTAATAGAAAAGCAGCATCTGAGGGCCAATTAGAGCCTCATCATAGAAAACTTTAAACCCCTGAAGTAATTAATGGCCTCTGGCGGGGCGCCGCGGCTCGGAGCAGCCACCTCGGCCTTCCCTGGAGATCCCATTAGGACTCCTGAATGGCTCAGGTGAATTTCTGAAACCTTCTCTCTCCGTTTCTCTCTGCAGCACTGGGAGGACGACGTGCGCCGCTTCCACAGGATGTTCAGGCACTCCTCGGACACAGAACTGGTCGTACTGGTCGGCAATCACGACATCGGGTTCCATTATGAGTAAGCACGCAACGCCTCTCCGCTTTTGCTCCTTTTGTGTAAAAATAAAACAACGGTTGACCTTTCAGAGGCGGGACGCTGCTGAAAATCCTGATGAATTAAACCCTGAGATTAGAGCTCACACTCCCTGAGCATACTGATTTTATTTTTACTGCCGTCACTGTTAAACACAAAATCTTACCAAATATTTCCTGTCTGGTTTTAATGCAAATATTTTTTTGTGAACACATTTGAGACATTTGTTTTGAATAAACTGAATTAAATATCTTAGTACACTTGAAATATGACAAAGCTAACTTACAAGAAACAGGAGGTTGTTCTAAGCCACTAATTCCTGAACACTGATAAAAGGTTCTAGTTCCACTGGCAGATTATGTCACTTCTAATATGGGAAAAATGTTTTATAATAAGTGAAATAATCTGCCAGTGGAACCAGAACTTTGTATCAATATTCAGGAATAACTGGCCTAAAACAAGCTCATATTTCTTGCTGAAAAGTTACAATAAAGTTAGTTTTGTCGTATTTCCAGTGTACTAATATATTTCCACTATAAACTAGACCAAAATAGTTGGATACATTCTGTGTTTTTGCAGTGCTGCTTCCAGAAATAGCTCCCAGGAGTATCAGCGAAATCTTCTCTGCTGCAGAGCCGGAAAAACAAAAGGAGACGAGTTTGTCCACATTACATAAATGTTTCAGAAATGTTTGAGGTGTGAACCAATCGGAACGAGTTTAGTTAGATAATGCCAGAGTTATGTGTAGTAAATGCTGTCAGGAATGAGAACACACTGCAAAAACACAAAATGTAACTTAGTATTTTTGTCTAGTTTCTAGTGCAAATATCTTAGTACACTTAAAAAGAGACAAAACTATATTATAAGTAACATTTCAGCAAGATAAATTAGCTTTTTAAAGAAATAATTCTAAAAAAATCATTCTGGGAGATTATTTAACTTATTTTCCCATGTTACAAGTGAAAATTTAGCAATATTAAGAAATTATTGACTTAAAACAAGCTCCTATATTTATTGAAAAATTATTTGTAAGTTAGTTTTGTATTATTTCAAGTGTATTAAGATATTTGCACGAGAAACTAGAACATTAAATACTTGTGTTAGATTTTGTGTTTTTGCAGTGCACACAGTCTGAACTGTTTGGAAAACACAAAAGGCTTCATTGACTGAGGTTTCCTTACCATCAGCCCTCTGCACACCACCCTGCTGCACAAAGGTGAACCAAACACGGACTACTGCACCACTGCAAAACTGCAGAGTCTCGTTTTAGGAAGACACCCGGTTGTTTTTTTTAAAGTAACACAGATAGATATATAAATGTTGAGTATTATCACATGCTGTCCAGATCCATATTTTATTGGGATTTTGTGTGGTGGATAAACAGGCAGTAATGCATAATTGTGATGCGGAAGGAAAATGAGACATGATTTTCAAAATATCAAGTGTTTACATTCAGCCTGATCTTAGTCAATACTTTGTAAAAATGACTTTTTGCTTCAGTTACAAATCAAAGTCCTTTGGGAAATGCACCAGTTCTGCACCTCTACAGACTAACTTTCTTTAAAGAATTTCACTCTTTACATTTAAAAGCAAGTTTTTCATAATATAACTCAATGTGATATATATATATATATATAAATATAATGTAAAATAAATTAATGTTCTGAAATGTTTGTACTCTGGCAGCAAACTAAAGAAGAAAGTATTTATTTTTTATTCCTGTGGAAACTTTTAAACAGCAGCAGCGCCGCAGCTCTTAGTGGTTCTAGTTCATTTTTGATGTTCGAGACTTGCGCTACGTTTCAGAGATGTTGCATTCATTGTTTTTGCAGAAGGGAAGTGACACACGGTGCAGAAAATAATCTCGCAGTTAAATTTTTGATGCATGTGCTTCAGAGATGTGGGATTATGTCGACATGCGGCTGCTCTTACGGGCTTTGATTCAATCCGTGCAGCAGGGAGTGGAACTGGCACAGCCCTTATGTAACAGTGCATGACGTGCCGGGCTGAGCAGCAGCTTTTTAACCCTCACTGTTTGCGTTGTTGTGTTGTGTTTCCCCTGCAGGATGGACTGGTTCAAGCTGCAGCGCTTTGAGAAGGTCTTCAACGCCTCCTCCACCAGGATTGTTACCAAAAAGGGAGTCAAGTGAGTGACAGGAAGTAGAAAAGCATAAAATGCTGCAGCCATCAGTTAGGCTTCTTCACAAGAAAAAAATACACAATATTATTTAGTTTCTAGTAAAAGTCACTCTACACCTATTGTAAAAGTTCTCAGACTTTTCCTCCCTATTTTAAGAGATGGATTTTTTAATAAAGGGGGGTTCTGTTGAGATGCTATGAGCGGTTAGTAGCTTACCCAGTTTTATTTCTCTCTAAATACATTTAAGTATTTTTTACAGGGGACTTTTTCTGTATTAAAATACAATACATTTAGCCCTGACTGATACATTGTGATAAACGATAATATTGTTGTTTTAAGACCATTTTCAAGTAAAAATGTAATAATAATGGTAATGGCATAATGATGGAAGAACAGATTCTTAAAGATCAATAAACTTTAAATTCTAAAGAACCATGAGCACATTAGCAACTGGAAGACATTTTAAGTATCCGAAATAAATAAACAACAACAGAAATAACAAATGGAAAGAATCATAGTCTCTGTAAATATAAAAAAACAGGCTGGTTGAGGCCAAAGCACCAGATTGAAGATTTTTGTCGTCCAACTTTTGGTGGAAAGTGAAAAACAATAAATCATGCAAATGGAAATCACTGTTTAAATTTGTCATGCAATTAATTAATTGGTTTATTACTCATTACAACAGTGCCAGTTTAGATTGACTAACACAATAATTTTGATTAATTAATAACAAAGATTCTAACACGTTACAAATTTTAAGTCATTTAATCAATCTGGCTTTTATTTTATTATTTTTTACACAAAAGTCCTGAGCTGGAACCTTTGTGTTTCTTATTGTGTTTCTGGTTCGCCTGTAAACCTGACGCACAAGTGACATCTATAAGCAAGAGCAATGACCGACAAAGCCATTTCTCTTGGCCCACCAGAGGTTAAAGTTCCCTTCATAAAACAATCTAATGCTTGAAAAGTCTGTTGTTGTGCTCAAATTGTGCTAAAAGGAGTTAGCCAATCACTGAAGCTACTCAAGCCTAAAATAGCAT